ACAGAAGGAAAGAAAAAGAATAATGCTCATTTTATGTCATTGTACACTTTCGTCGTGTTTTAAATACTTTTTACATACATGGTTGGTTAGTTGATTAGTTGGTTAGTTAGTTGAATTTCACTGTCACGCTGGTCCATGAACGGATGTTAAAAATTTATCCAAGTCTATATTGCTTAATAATGTTTGTGGATCCGTTGTGTATTGTCGTTTGTCGATCTAAAATAAACGATTATTTTGTCTCCATATTAGAAATAAAAAGCAATTAAAACAGAACATTAAATGATTTTCATACCGGTTTGCTTTCTTTTGGTTCTGGTAATTTCCTTCTAAAAACTTTCGCGGTAGAGTTATCTGAAATAGTAATTGTTATTAATGTGAATGGATAGCCCCGAGGCTCGATTTATTTCCTCGATAATACTGTTTCATTGATGTAATTGTAGCAATTACCTTGAGCAATTTCAGGAATTTTATCCAGTTTTGTTTTTTTCTTGTTATTAGATACTCCATCGTGGTTTTTTTCGTTTGTCTCGTGAACAATTTTATTAGTGGCCTTTTTCACTTTGGACGTTAAGACTTTGTCTAAAGGAGAAGATGCGGCTAAAGGTTTCGTATGGAGATTTATCGTTGCGATTTGCGGTTTGTTGGTTGATTCGGGGACATTTTCATTTTTAACGGGTGACTTTCTATTTCCCGAACGTTTCCTCGATTTTGGGGGTAGATTAAGTATTTCTTCGTAATTGGAAGCAGTCATCACTTTAACGCATTCATCGCAACCTTGATCGTTCAAGACAATGTTGATCTGGAATTCCAGCTCTTGATTGCTATATCTGCGTCTTCTTTTCTTTTGTAGGGTGTTATCGTCGTAGTGGAAGTGATATTCCACCGAATTGGGAATGATCACGTTAAGCGCTGTCTCGTGGTTGTTTTCACGCCTGAATTCAGGAAATATCGGCGAGTGATCATTCTTACACGTAGGAATGAGTTGTAAACATTGAAGTACGCGTGACAAACCTTTTGGGTTTTCCGAATTGAGACTCCTCGAGGTCGCCGACGCAATGCTATCGGATATATCGTTTTCTTCGTTGCTCGGCAATTTAGACGAACTCGATGTTTTCTGATCATTTTCTTCGTCACTGAACAAATCCCGTTTCACCTGATCTACCTTCGATTTTAAAATGCCGTTTGCTTTACCACCGCGACTCGGGTATTCTTTGGAAGGACATATATTTTCTTCGTTCGAATTACTTTCATTTTTCAACGAGTCGGTCTTTGTTTCTCCTGAAATACTTTTACCTTCAATCGCTATCTCATTCTTGAACTTGTTTACGTTTAGAATACGCTCCTCCGAGACATGTACATTATTTTCTTCGATTACTATTGTAGCGCACTTTGCGTCAGAATTTTCTATCGTTTCCTTTCTTTCTACGATTACATTCTTTTCCACGAGAGTCGTGTCGTGAATTTCATGTTCTCCTTGATTCTCCGGAACTCCGATATCATCTTTGATGTTATTTTCAATATTATTCGCATTACCGGGAATATTTTTCAATTTGTTGGTCGTATCGACAGTACAGCGTTTTACAGGTTTTAATGTTGAAGTTACATTATCCGTGACACTCGTGTCTCCGTTGGAATTCGCTTGACAGTGTTTCTTTAAATATCCCGGATTACACAATTCTGTTTTCGATACGCCTTTCGTGGACGAACATTTCATCTGGTTATCGTTGTTGTTGCGCAAACTACCATTATTGCTGTTGCCGTTATTGCTAGTGGTGTTACTGTCACCGTCACCTTCGTTATCATTGTCGGCGTAATTATTACCGTCGTTGCGATCGACATTATTGTTGTTACAGTTACTGCTATCGTTTTTATTGTTGGCTTCATTCATTTCTCTTTGTTTCCTCCTCTCCTTCGCCTGTTTCTCGCTAAACTGGACACCTTTTCTTGGACCACACTTGTATCGACCATTTCGTATTTTCGAACCAACGTTTCTTTTATTTTTCAAAAGAATGCATGCTTGTTGAGATTTAACACGAGATGCATTGGGTTTAGAAATTTCTCGAATCTTGGCAATCATACGTTGACGTTTCGCTTCTAGTTGCAGAACCAACTTCTTATCTATAGACGAGGATGCTTTCTCTTTTTGTAGAAGAGATCTCTTGGATGGTTTGCTAGATGGTTTGAGGGAAAGGAATGAATTCGATTTGACGCGTTGTACATGTACCACTGTTGGCTTTTGTTTCGACTTTCTCGTACTAGACTTTTCGACGGGTAACGGCTGATTGAAATTTGGTAATTTTCGATCCTCCGAGCTGATGAACGCCGAAATTTTTGAAGACAAATTGGTTAGATGATCGACACCAATTTTTGAACTGCTGGGAGTCTCTGAAATGTCTGCTTCGTTTAACAAAGACTCGTCTTTTGCGGGAGTTTCTTTCATTGTGTGTTTTAACATTTCGTCGTTCTTTGATATCGGAAGCACTTTTGTCGGCGACGATTCGCACTTTCTTGAGGTGATTACTGTCGCTTCTTCTGCACGATTCGTACACGATTTATCTTTGCTTTCCAATTCGGATACACTATTCTTCTCCGAGGTCAATGTTGTCGATGGGTAAATAAGTTTTTGCGATGAATCATTGCTAGCATCGAGATCAATTCGATCAGAAGGTTTATCCGGTTTGTTCTTGACAATTGACTTTTTCTGTGAATCCGTGGTTTCGGTGTTATCGAGAGCAAGCGATCTCGAGGATGAAATAATCGATGATGATAACGACAACGATGATGA